AGTGAAATAAAAGGTTTAATATTTGGGTGTTGTAAATAAGTTATATTTGTAATTGTTATAGTATTTTTGCTCATTAATTTACACACTAAATCATTCAAGTCAACAAAGTTATCAAATTTTGAAGATACACTCACCTGAGATACCAGGTTTACCTTCTTCTCCTATACCACCAGGCTCTCCTGGGTAACCTTTATAAGAAAAATTATGAAGGATATTATCCCATGTAATTCAAAGAATATTTGTTTACTTAATGATTAAAAAATCCAAAGTTAGAAAACAAAAAACATGACACTATTCTAAATAATTCAGCTCATTCTTCTTGGATTCACGAGTCAAAGATTTTCTCAATGTGAAAAAAAAACCCACAAGACAAAGTTCAGTATTATTGTAGATTCACATCTATGAACTCCAATTTTACAAAAGTTACGTGAGATAATAGATCACAATATTTACATAGCAAAAATCAACCTTTAATAGAAGTATGATATTTAACTTGTTATATAAGATAACAGTTAAACTTTAAAAAATTATAGAATTTTACTACTTGCAGGATATTACTTAATGATTACAAGAATAAAACATAAACCGAACATTAAAATAAGAATAACAGATTCTATCCATTTTATGGCAAGAATCAAACTTTATGAAAGCAATAAACTTTATTCATTTGTAGAATGAATAAAACTTTGAAAGAGATATAGATTCCACCTATGCTACAGTAAGAAATCAAACATTAAAACAAGAGTAACAGGTTCCATCCATTTTACAAAATGCAACAAAATTCATATCACCAATAGATTCCATCCATTTGATCTTCACAATCAAATTTTACAACATTAGCAACAGATTTCACTTTTCACATAATATGATTGAAACTTTACAAGAGTATTAAATCCCATATCTTAGAAAGCATGAAATATACAAAAGCAATAAATCCTATGTGTTATACAATATAAGTCAAATATTAAGAGAAATGTAAACTTTTATATATAATTTTTTTTCCACTATCATATAACTGGAGTAGATAACCTTATAAACTTACCCTTGGGTCCATCTCTTCCAGGAATTCCAGGAAAGCCTTCAAATCCAGGTTCTCCAATAGCTCCTTTCTCACCAGGTAATCCTTGAAGTCCAGGAACTCCATGTTCACCAGGGTAGCCAGGAGGTCCTGGTGCTCCAGGTTCACCCTGATCTCCCTTACTGACCACAGTTGAAGGGAGGCCTTTTATAAACCAAAACAAAACAAGTACAGATCAAACAAAAAAGTACAGTAACACCAGAAAAGACTTATGTTTGAATCTTCTAAGAGTTAATAGTAATATTAAACATTAAAATTGTATTAGTTATGTTGTTCACTTTTATTGTATAGTTTTCCCTACAACAAGAGCTTTGATACCAATATAAAGAGAACACAGTGGTTATGCTAATTCTAATACCTGCTGGAAAGAGAGAGCACAACTCAAAAGCATCTTCTACCTTGGATGATTTATTATTAAATTAAACCCAAAAGCATTAAAATAAAGGACAGGTGAATGAAGATAAGTTGAAAATTACAATGTAGCAATAGTAAAATGCATCCAAGCCAGTAAGAAAAGATTCAGAAGAGGTAAGATCCATAAAATCGAAAGGCTACACCATCTATAAATTTTAACCTCTATTTGCATGCCTCCTCACATGTCAAATGAAACTAGAACCAAAGTAGCAAAACTCAAAAACAAAAAAAAACAGATTTTAATGCTCAAGGACAAAATATTCCATTATCAAAAGTCCCATTCATCAACTTCAGCCATTTATAGGAAAGTTTTTGTTTCAAATGAAGTGGAAAAGCAAGGAAAGAGAACATATAAAAAATAAGTTAATATAAAAATCATTGAAGGTGTTAAAATTAAACTTTCTCTTGAAGTGTGCATTTTAACTCTCATAGCTGTATGAAAAGTTTTACAGAACGTAAGTTGTCTGAATTAAAATATACTAATACATAAATCTTCCTCCCTGACCAAAATGTTGTTAAATTACAATGGCTATATTTTAATTGAATCTGCAAACTAAACACTAGATCTTTGATATGGTATTGGTGAAAAAACATTAAAATGTCATTTATATTAACAACCTTTATGCTTATGATAAATATTTTATACACAGGATAATAATTAGAACTAGATAAAAAGCAAAACTTCAAATCATTTGTCTATAATTCAAATTTAAAGTAACTTAGAAATGCAATCATCTAGTCATTTCTAATATCTATAGTAGTGTAAACCAAAATGTTCTAGATATTGTGTAAGCTTTTTGACTTCAATACACATATATATTCAGTGTATTCTCACATTCTACTTACCTTTCAAAACTTACAAATATTGCAGAAAAAGAGGTTTTCTTACCTGGCAAACCAGGTTCGCCCTGATCCCCAGCTGCACCTGGAATTCCATCAATTCCAGGTCTTCCTGGAGGTCCCTCATCACCAACAGGTCCTTTTATTCCAGGTAACCCTACTAGTCCTCTGTCTCCCTGTACATGTTGCCATAATTATACTTAGGTTATAGGCAAGTGAACAGTTGTTTTATTTACATCATAAAATCACATTGAAAATAATTATGACACATTCATTAGTTTATTTTTCAATATAATTATTTGTATGATGTGATGTTATAGAATAAAATTTAAGTAAAAAAAAACATAGCTGACGTGTACGTACCATTGACTATAAATATCCTGGTCATACTTTTAACAACGACACCAAATTATGTGTGAAAAAGCCAATAAGTAAAAAGAGATTCAAACACTTAAACTTAAACCCAGGACCTCTAGCTAATGGGGACAGTGTTCTAACACAGAGATATTCTGCTCAGTTATAATTAAAGTTTCTTATTATTAGTATAATAATGGCTGGAGACG